ACATATCAAGAAAAGATCAAAGTTATTTTCAATGCCGAGATACACAATCACATGTTTATGTTTTATACAACACTGTAATTTGTCAGATATCATTTATTTTACTTTTCAACTCACATGGTGATCATATCGGCAATATTCAGCTCTGTGACAAATTTTGAGAAAAGATGTATTTATCAGTACGGTAAAATCGCCCGATAAAATCAAATCAAAACCGCCATATCGCATGATTTTGTTAATGTACAAGCATGCTGATTGGTTCTCAGCTCTTTAATAATTTAACCAATCAAATAGCCATGTTGATGTAATGAACGCTGTCTAATATGTGAAACACACTAGAGTATATTTTGGCGACGGCGAATAACTCATAAAGAAGATATTACTTTCGTGGTGAATACGGGCCTTTATTTGTCACTTTTAAACATCCCGGGCACCTATTTAAACGGATTATTCGCAGATTTTATTATCACGTGGTATTCTTGTTCGAGTACGTCAAACATTCTGCAGACTCGTTCGTAGCGAGTCGTGCAATAATCACTAAAATCTTCATCCAAATATATATATATTCTACCACTACTTTGCAGTCAAATGCCTGATTTAGCGAAATCTTCAAAATATTACAGTTGTTTGGAACAGTAGTTCAAATGCAGCAGCTGGTGAACTTGATGGTCAGGCGTAATCAGACATAATATCACATACACACTACAAACCAGTATATGTTCCATTGTGCAATTGGTATCCGTCCGATGCTGCAGTACGTCATGTGCGGTGTCCCGGTGCGCGCTATTCACTGTACGATTTCATCAGCAAATACTAGGATCATTGGTTTTTGACGCGCACGGCATCCGTCACGTGCTTAGATGTTGATAACGCAATTTAATGCAATTTTTCAGAATTTCACTGTGTCTGAAATAAAACATTTTCCTGCTATTCAGTGGTGTAATAGATATATGTTCAAAAGATGATTTTAGTGATTATTATTCGACTGACTGACTGCGAACGAGTCAGTAGGCGTTACCAAGCAGCTTGGCACTTCAGAATTACGTTAGTGGAATATATCAAGATTAGAAGCATTGACATTAAATCAGCCACGCACTAAATATATCACAACGGCAACGACATTTACACGATAGCATGCACATTTTAACACTGCATAGCATGAATTCCCGTAATAATTACCATAACATAAAATAACATAGCTTTCATAGTAGCTATCATGTCTGCATGATGATTTCGACCGTGTAAAATGTCATTTTTCAATCAGGTGTGTTATTCGTACACATGTGACGTCAGTTTGAGAATAACTTCTTATTCTTGTTAATTCAAAGCCTGTACAAGCTAAATAATTATGCAAATGCTATCTACAAATTTAAATAGTATATGGCGTACATTTTTAATGATATCATTTCTACTTCAAATCTGCATTTCTTGGGATGTAAATTTATGGTATGTTTTGAGGCATTGTTTTTTTTATAATACAAATGTTATATAATTTGTAGTGTAGTTGGTATCTTGCTAGTGGTCGGAATATGACATTTCACTAAGACTAGTATCGTTGCGGAATGCAGGCATAACAAGCCGGGCGGATGGATACATATCAAAGACGTGAAACGGTACCCAAGAAATGTATGTTCAGCTATAATGTTATTTTGTACAACTAGATGTCATCTAATCACTTTGCTGATGAATATGTGATGCACGGGTAGCAGTTATATAATATGAGGCATCATTAAAAAGACCTTTGACATAAATGGCCAGCCACCGAGATTTCGTTAAAAGCAAGAAAATCGCGCGATACATTGTTTGTTCCATTCTCTATCCAATCTCCCACGCAAAGTTCTACCACTCTGTCACCAACACGTCAAGAATATGCGTAGTAAGTCTTGTAGCATCTCACCACAGAAGGGCGGTGTGTAGGGGCAGAGATATTTTTGGTGTTCAAGTCGGAAAGAAAGTGATCTCTAACATCATTTACAGTGGAATATTAGACGCGACGAAGGGAGAAATTTGAAAACTATTTGAGACTCAAAACCAAGTCACGTGATTCTCTCGCTCTTAACGAGATTTCGGCGGTCATCTGCGAAAAAGTTCTGTTGCATCTTTGCTCATTGTAGGTTTCAGTGTCACGTCATATATTGTCCGAGTACGTAAGATTATAACATTTATAACTAGTATTATAATTACAATAACTGGCCTCTATATTTGAACCACGCTATGACTCGGCAGAAAAATGTGTGATATGCAGTATTAAAAAATATTGACTGATTCGTGCGAATTTGTGTCTACGCACTAGCATTGTAAAGGAAATCCGATCGAGAGTTGTTCATAAAATACATAAAATTAGAACGGCGCGTAACAAAACGCGCTTTGGTGGTCCTTACTTTTGATAACAATCAAGGTTGACACTGCTAACTTATTAAATCGTGCCGCTTTTAAACCACCTTAGTGTTGAAATTCAAGTTGATGCGATCTCGTTTCCGTGTAATTCATCATAACTTGCTAAATAATACATAGGCAAATAATGCACGGGTAAAAACTATTTGTACGTTGAACGAAAATTGGTTAGTAAAATATGATATAATACTCCGCCTACTTATTACTTTGGGCGGCTGGAACCTGTCTAACAACCGTGAGCGTCGTCAGTAACGATCTCATCACAGAATACTAACATGTTTACGAGCAAGACATGAAACAAATTTAAATGTCAATTATAATATTTTTTTTGTTACTAAATGACAGGAACTAATACCTACTTATTCATTAACCGTCGTTAGATTACTGACCCATCCATTGCTTTCAAAGTTCTAATTCCACTTGTACGAAAAATTAAACAAATATTGCATATTTCCCACCTTTTATTATTTCCGTTCTAGTAGTGTCCGTTCTAAGCCCGATATGCGCCTTAAATTGTATCTTTTTCCAATTTGCCATTTAGTGATCACAATATATTGTTAGTAATTAATAAAAAAAAACAAAAAAACAAAAACATGTTTGTGGCGTCGCCTTCATTTCTAATCTCGCTAATACACGCATTCAATATCCCTATCTAACGCCCACGAGAAACATTTAATCAAATGTCGTATTTCAATCCATGTGAGAACATTAATTACACTAAAACACGTCGTGTGATACGATTTAGTGTTGTAACATACAAATCAGGTAAAGAAAATGAAAACAATGTATAATTTGAAACAACAGTGCAAACTTAGTGCTCATTAACAAAACAATTTGTAAATATGTGCCTTATTTTATTGCTAAGTAACTAACTAAACAGTGTATGTTGCTTTAAATGACTTCAATGTGATCACAAACCTGGGTTTCTGTGGATGTCTTCAATGTTAGCTGCCAATTAGTCAAGCTTATTGGAAATCATTGGAATTGTTTTTAAAATCGTGAGTTTTTCAGTATAATAGCATCACGTCTCTCCCCAACCTGTTGTGCTTTCCTTGATCGCGATATGATCTTTCAACTGTGTGTATTACATGTTCACCGCATGTCATGTCAGACAATATTTTCTGGTGTCAATTGCGCTTTGTATATTTGGAAGGCATACACATGTACTACTTACTTGAAGTTCTTTATTTGTTAAATATTTAGGAACTTATTATTAAAACTGGTCTTAAATTGATTTTCTAAACAAACACATCGAACTGTTTCAATTATGTATGCTTTAAAGTTAAGGATGGAGCGGATATTGTATTGAGTATAACATAAATCAATATTCATTGGACATATATACGTATAATTTGAGTCGCGTTTTACTGTGTACGAGTAGAGTGGATAAAAGACGCAACTGTTTTGCAGCAAATAATGCGTTACATGCGCTAAATGAAACTGAGTTGTACACTAATTAACGCTGCACGATCGGGGGTCTATATCGCAATTATGCTGCACTGCGCGGTGAATTAGTTCAGACATGTGAGGCCTCCCAGGTGAGAATTAAACGCGTAATGTCGTGACGTAAAGTCAGATAAAGCTGTGTGTAGTTACAGACTTTACTTACGCGATAAGTACCCAGACATGTTGTAAATACGTATGTATCAGCAAAACCCTCTTGTGTAAATCACACTATTGTACACGTGAAATAAGAGCGGTTTCCGCAGGCTGGCGGCTCGTTCAAATGTGACTGCAGAAAAGCCGAATAGATAAACCTTAGATTACAAAAAAAAAAAAACACTTTCTCTGTGCCACGACTTTCTTATGTCATGAATATCGGATTGCATCGTGATAAACTCTCGGGAAAACGACCCGCAGAATGATTACAAAGTTGTTAATGAACGCAAAACCAGATACGGCGGACTTTACATCTGTTTTGTGACATTTTCCGATTGATTGATTGGTTGGTTATCACTTATGTAAATACTCCGAGCCACAGTTCTATACAGTACTAGTACACATACACTTATCAAATGTTAAAAATCAACCAGATATTAACACGCACTCTAAGATCAATAAGTTATTTCTCATGTGCTTAAAATAATAATATTGACCCCAATTGCCGCGAGGTTTTTATTATTATTTCGACTCGAGAGCTCGCAGTATCCTGTTCTCAGTTTTATCAGAGCTACAATAAGAAATTAAATTGGCGAAATGATCAACACAATTTGACAATCACAGATTGTAGTTTATCAATGAAGGCAATGTTATAAATTACAGTTCATCAGACTGATCTATTGATCAATGAATCAATATCAAATTTTCGAGACTTAAGAAGCTTAGACAACATACATGGATATATTGATTGGTATTATTAAACCAAGAATGTATAAATTCCACACAGCGTGACAGTGTCAAGTGTATCTGTATTGACAAGATGTTTCATCCTTGTCGACTCAACTGTTGTATGTTTCACGTCGGTAATGTGACGCCACAAAACCACTTACGCATATTAAATCAGCGCCTTTTAGAGAATGTGTCGTATTTATCATCGAAATCTAAAATACTTTGTTTCATTTACTCTCAATTTCAGATAGAGTAGACCTGACACCCAAAAGGTATACACGATGACGAACTTTTCGCAAATCAACATAACGACGGAAGTCCCTTATCTTAACGTGTCGGGTGTTTCGGATTTCACGTCAGATGAACCTAGTTACGCCGAGGAAACCGCGACTGAAACATCAACTGAGGTCGATGACAGTTATTCCTACGACTATAGCTGGGATATTGATGTACCCGATAGTGTATACATTGTCGTGTTGGGCATTGCGTCTGTGCTCATCGTGGTGGGCAACCTTTTGGTAATTATTGCTGTATTCAAACAACCAAAACTACGACGTTCCGCTACAAACCTGTTCATCGTATCACTGGCCTTTTCAGATCTTCTTATCGGACTCTGCGTCGGGCCGATGGAGCTCATTCGGATAATGGGTTCCAGGCTGCTGGTCACAGTTGAAGCTTTGTGCGATATTCCGGGCGTTCTTCAATATACCAGTATCTGCACCACCATATTTACACTTGTGGCAATAGGTGCGGACCGCTACCGCGCTATTGTACAACCAATGAAGCCACGCGTCTCCGTGCATAAAGCGCGAGTGTGCATAGTTGGCATTTGGGTATTGGGGTTTGTGTACGCTGCGTATCGATTTCCGGTGCATGGAGTGACATTCTGGTATGGCAAGACAGAAAATGACAGTCGTTTGTACTTCTGTGAGGTGCTTCCTCAGATGCATTTTATAGAGATCCCGATGACTGTTGTACACCTCGTGGTTCTATACATTGTTCCGCTGATTACGTTGACGTATCTTTACGGTAGAATGATCGTCACGCTATACGGCGGGACGTCGATCAACGACGAGTCTAAACGTAGAAAGAAACGAGCAGTCAAGATGTTGTTACTTGTTGTCGTAATGTTCGCTCTCAGCTGGCTGCCGTATAGAGTCCACGCTGTGCTGTATTTCTACGATGAAAGCTGGTTCACCGATTCCTGGTTCATATACAGTTTATTTTACTTCGCATATCTCTCGAACAGTTTCGTCAATCCGATAATCTACGCTGCTTTCAGTGCGAGTTTCCGCCGGGAATTTGCTACGATCTTGACTTGTGGCTTACACGAAGCGCTCGTGAAGAGGAGGCGACGGGGTGTGGAGCTGCTTCAAACACCTAAGTCGCAAAGCGGCAGTACCGTCACTGGCATGACCCAGGTCACTGGAACTGGTAGTAGCGTTTATCGGAGCGAAAATAGCATGGCTATGGAGAGCTTTAAAAGAAAGAATGCTGTGAAAAGCAAACATGTAGTCATGGAAATGGATGGTAGCTCAGTTTGCGAGAGGCAGGACGAGTCCTCCAATTTTGGGCCACAGCTGCACCAAACTATCAAACCTGAAAATATTTCTTACGACAACACATGCTTCACACAAACTGAAGATCAACATGTTTTGGGAACGATCACTGAAGAAACTGGGAACTCAGAGCAACATGTGGACTATACACATCAAACGATATCGTCTAAAACCATGACGAACTGTTCAACACAGACATCACTTGAATAAGTGAAAAAACAATTCTATTTTTCGATGAACAGTTAGAGCATAAACTGGATCTGTTTATTACTAAATGGCATCTAACAAGACATATCATAATGATAGCTAATATTTTTGTTCAACTTATATGTAACGAATACAGGGTTGTATGTCACTGTATGAGAGAGATTCACTGCTGATTTTGCTTGGAATCCGCAAACGTATTCTGCTTGTTAAGTATTGAGCACACAACTTTAGAGCGGAGGGGTCGTCACCTGCGCACGCGCGGGAATTGAGTCCCAAGCGCCGATAACAACACACGCTAAAAACGGATAGGCTCATGGGTAGACGATTGTTTGTAGACAATGACATGCTATGACCATCTGTCGCATGCGCAGGTGACGACTCTCCCGCTTTCATTTATATATTTGCATATGTGCAATCAATGTGGGCAATTGCGAAGCTACTTTAAGTAACAAGACTGTACCCGATTGGCTTCCCAATCCAAACAATTAACAGTCAATCCAATTAACCAATCAAAGAGAAGCTTGTTTGTTGACAGTTGTTTTCTTCAAATTGTGTCTTGTATATATGCTTCGACACAACTGTCAACGTGTAACAAGTTTGCGATTGGATCAATGGGAACGCGCACTTTTTACAGCAGAGCAGATCTCTATCTCCAAATTCACAGAAATCGTTTTTCAAATACTTCGCGCATGCGCAAAGAAGTGTAATATATAAGCCCCCCCCCATGACGCAATATTTCTAAATGCGAAAATAATACACATATCCAGTAAATGTATTTGGTAACCTTTTAGATTCAGTGCATCAATATGCCATATGCTCTCAGCGGCATTACGGGTTAGGCACGTAGCTTTTCGTGAACAAAGCTTTTCCACGGATTCAAGAATGTGTGTTTATTTCCAACCCAGCGCAATTAGTTAATGGCATTAAATATGTTTGATACATCCGTGTCGACTCTTACTAGTAAACAGCTCAACACAATAAACACAGGGTGAATGTTATCGAGAGCTATTGAATTACATTAACTGGTTATAAGAATACTGATTGGATTATTTTTAATATGTAATTAAATCAGCTTTAAAAACGGATTCCATTCGATACACGTGATGATTGCGATATTATACGAGTTACAGAGAACATATTTCACCATCTACTCATCAAATTTCTGTAATCCAAAAGAAGACGTTTATTTTGTTTTTATTTACAAACTATTTCTTAGTACATGATTTTGCAATAGTTAAAACGCTGTTATTTTGTTGTCAATATTTTGCAGTATGTGGCGTGAATCGGATATTCTGAAAATTAGTGTTTGTACTTTTATCTTAATAGTGTCTACACAGGAGAATGCATTTTTTATATAACTGTATTCTATAATTTATTATACTAGTACATGATTTTTAACACCGACATGAAGCCCCAAAATGCCATCGATATCAATCGTATCTGTTGAGGCATATCTTAAACTGGCTGCATCATGTACGATTTCCCTGGGGATTTAAGCTCAGATTATAAAATAACGCTGCTTAATCTTTTGATACTATATCTACCTCTCAGTATGTATACTGGATTAAGGTTTATTAGCTGTTATCAGCGCTGCTGCTTTGGTAACAGATTATATATTACTTCTATGAAATTCCATGATATCGGACAAATGTACCATGCGACAGTGCAGTTCTTATATATGTATACTTAGATCCACAAATTAGGCAGTACTTTCAGACGAGCGATCGACTGAACTCACATAGAAATTTGCAAAAAACGTAATAACTATTTTACCCGTTGTATATTCTTAAATAAAGTTGCGAGGCATAATTGTAAAAATCGTTAACGCCACAGGGCAATTGGTATTCCTGCAAAAGCCAGTGACGATAAGTATTCGAATTTAATACGCTCGATGATATTCGGATAGAACTGAAATCCTAAGAAGTACACAAAAAAGACACTGGTAATTGATCTTTAGTTAGTCAGGTGTAGTCAATCTGTCAAGTTTCGATAGCTATTCGAGTTACAGAATCGAATATTGTCGGCATTATAGTTGCAAGCAACCAATACCCTTACTATCATTCCTAGTTGTCGAGTAATGATTCTGTTGCATTTTTACTATTTTCTTCCCACTCAAAAGTGTGCAGCATTCTAATACATTTTTCCTCATGACTGGTTTCTCGATTTGGCTCAGCGCCTGTCGAACAAAATCATCCATCACACGTCTGTTACGTCGGGTAGGCATAACGATATATGACAACGCCGTGTGATCTGTTGTGTATTGTGCGTTTCCCAGCTTAATATCTCCCGCCGCATCAAGTTAGAATCTCATTTAAATTACACGGTGGATTGAAAAAAAAGTAGGGAAAACCAGTTTCCATCGATAACAAGAAACGTCACTGAGATTGAAAAGAGTGATATAAAAAGAACGCATACGAGGCTGAAACACGGGCACAGGTGCAACACTGCGATAATAGATAGTACATGAACACTTCTGCGTTGTATTGGCCCATTTTTTTATAGTAATTCACACATATTCCCGTTTCGTTTATTAGAAACGTCAGAATGATTGATTAAACATATTTTTTAACTAATTCTTTTGGGAAACACGGCATAATAGCTGTTTTTACTGTTACAATTACTTACATACACGTTCAAGGCAGAGTAGAGTACGCCGAGAGAATGATACACATTATATTTTAAAGTGCATTGAAAGTTCAATTCACCTCAAAAGGAAATTACTTAAAAAAAAAAATCAGATTCGACATTATAGGCAGTTTCAAATAAACTAGGACATAAATATTTAATAATTAATTTTCCAACACCTTAGTAGTGAATTAAAACTATAACCATTTACACGGTTTTATGATATTAATGTGTTTATATGAATTCTTACCTTTCGTTCACATTTCACCAAGGTTACTTTGACCTGCAGTGTGAGGCATTGAAATCTACACTTTATTGTTTGGACAACATGTTCAGACACGTTTTATAATTTCAATAGTGAATGATTATAAATCCAAAGAGCTATACATATAAAACAAATTTGTTTCTGACATTCACTTTGTTCACCTTTCTCCACGTGTACTATTATTGTGTATTTTAAGTGGTATTTAATAATTTAATAAATGGCTATTTAATTGAACTCAGCTATCAATGCGTGAATTATTCTGTTCTGGCAAATATATTTGCACTCACTTTATGCGAGGGACTGGAATGCAAGTTTTACAACGAACAAAACAATGGTTTATTTGAGTTGTGGCGCCGACATAATTCGGGACTAAGGTTAGTTTAATTTTTTGTTTAGGAAGATTTCATACCTTATTAATGTTTGCTCATCAACAGTATCAAACATGGCCTGAAATTTTACTCAGAAATGCGAAAAATATTTGAAATCAAACAAAGCTTAGAAAGAACTCGCGTGTGCTGAGTAAAGGAGGCATATTAAAAAATCAAGAATTGAGATTAGGTTTTTAAACAAGAAGCTTGGCAACGAAACTTTGTCATTTGAGATGCACAACGTGAAAACCTTGTATTCCACATTATTGAAGTTTATAATACTTACAGAACATAAATTTGATTGCAGTCTAAATTATTCCAGAGCACCTCCAACAAAGGTTTAATTTATTTTAAATCTGATTTTTTGAGATATCAGAAATAATAATAATTAGATAATCAATATGCATGGTTTTCAACTAATCACCTCTGTGGATTACCCTAGAGCATCTATGTGCCAAATTGCAACGAAATGTGATGATTATGCATATTGTGCAAATAAGGAAATTAGTATGCTCAAATTCCAATCAAAAACTTATTAGCTTTTTAGCATTGTTCCCAGGCAATTATATACCAAGTCTTATTTAAATGAAATAATTTGTTTATATAACGTAAAAAATTGGGTAATTATTATGTAAATTAGGCAATTATTATGCATATATTTCAACTTAAAACTAATTTAGTCTGTGTATTGTTTATTATAATGTGATGATTAATGCTTAAAAAAATCTGTGCAAGCCGAAAAGCAAATTTGTGTGCGACTTAATTATTTTGTCTTATTTACATTGTCTTATAATAACATACCAACATACCAATAATAAAATACCAAGCTTCATTGAAATATGATGATAAGTATTTGAGATATTGATGGAAAAGCTAAAATCTAACTAATTATTATGCAAATCAGGTAATTAATATGCACAGATTTTAATGTGAAACAAATAAGTTCTGCGCAATGTCTCCGAGCATCTGAGATTAGAACTTGAGATATCCAGGGAAAAGCCGGAAAATTGTTTCTAAATTAGGTAATCAATATGAAGTTGATTTAAACTCAAAACTGAAAAGTTCTATGCATTGTCCTCGAGCATCTATGTACCATGTTTCATTGAAATGGGATGATTAGTACATGAGATATCAGTGTAAAGGCCGAAAATTGGCTAATTATGCAAATTAGGTAATTGTTACGCACTGATTTTAAGTCAAAACTAATCAGGTCTGTGCATCGTCCTATAGCATCCATGTACCAAGTTTCATTGAAGTCTGATGATTAGTACTTGAGATATATGTGGAAAGGCCGAAAATTTACTAAATATTGTACAAATTAGGTAATTAATATGCACAGATTTTTACCCAAAACTAATCAGGTCTGCATATTGTCCAAAGGTATCTATGTACCAAGTTTCATTGTAATTTGTCCAGCGGTTCTTGCTAGAACAGACATACAGATTTTCATACAGACAGGGTGTCCGCCATGACTCTCATTGTATGCATCTCACACGGGAGTAAAAAAGTGTTTGAGTATGTTTTTTGTGTGTATACATTTAACTATTACAATGGTTTGCATGATTATCTTATTCTACTCATACAAATGAAGCAATGCATAAACCAACTGGGGTTGCATCATACAAATAAAGCTACGCTTGAACCAACTGGGATGTA